AATTTCACGGACATCCCATTGTAATGCGTCGTAAAGGTATGTAGTCCCAGTTGCAAGAAACGAATTGCAAGTGTCGCCAATATATATGTGTTAGTAAATACACGTTTCATGACGATGTCGACGAAATTGGATTTTACTAGTGTTCGTTGTAACAGGCCCCTGGTTCCTTTATATGTTCCACCAACCAGCCAATGATCATTGCATTAACACAAACATGTAACGCCAAAGATTCTATTGATTTTGTATAACAAAACTTTGGCAAACCTTAAACATCACGACACAATGAATATGAAACAGCTTAATGATTTGCAATACGGTTACGAATATCTTGAGCAACACAAAACCCTTTTTACTTGAAGACTAGAAGTCGATGGATAGAAGAAAATATCGAAGACGGATTCCAAATCAATGAACCGATCGTCCCGACAAAATCAGAAGGTGACATGAAGTCATGAAGATGCTACAAACAAAAAGTTAAATGTTCCAACCGTCATCAACACTCCATCTCGTCGAACATTGCCCTTTAGTTGGGAACAAGTACCTCAGGAACCATGACATTGACTCTCATGAATATTAGTCTAGCATCTATCGAGGAGCTGGCGAAGACCTATCGTCATTACCATGGCCGTTTACCAGGCCCGCTCAGGAAGCTGATTAAAGTGACTCGGTAACATTGCCTCAGATTCTGAAACAAAATCCGTGATTTAGCTCATGCTGCGATCATAATTATAAACTTTTAGGTCAGTCAGGAATCCCATGACTTTTACAAGCCAATCGCCTGTCTGATTATCAAGATATTTATGATTGGAAATCGAATCAAATTTTGCGCTTTCCTAAGGTTTTTTTTTTAATAACACTACAGTCTATTGGGGAAAACGAGTATGGTAACACCGGCCACTCCAAAGAATTTTAATTGTTTGAGGCACTTCATGATCATTTTGAAGCGCAATTTTTTTAGGGCTTCAATATTACACCATATCACAGACACCGATAACACGTGCATCCCAGATTTAACATTGTTAAACGATGCCTTTAAGGCGAAAGAAACACCGGTGCATTTGAAACGTGAATGGGTCTCGAAACGTCGTAAAAAGTCGGAGGTCCTGCTACTCATAGATTGCTTTCGATTCATCTCTGCTCCGAGGGATTGAAGGAAGAGAGCGGTGCTTGGAATCTTCTCCATGCAGATGCTAAGTCGCCATCGATCAACAGGCAAGGGGCAATTAAGGACAACTTTGAATTTCGATTGAGAAAGGTACGAAAGAGAACATACTTCATTAAATAGAAACCCGGTGTAGAATGAGTGAGCACATCCATAAAAAGACAGCAAATGGACTCTATGTTTTCTAAGGACTCGTCGGATAATGAAAAGACGCTTTGAACCGGCTTGGTTTTCATCATGCTCATAATGTATTTCATGTTTTTGAACAAAAGTGTTTTTCTCGTGAACAATTCGGGACTAGTTTACGAACTTTAAAGTGCTATATAATGGATAGACATTTGTATCGAAATGGACAATGACAAAATGGTAGAATGGTTGATCTTCTGCTTGTTATATTACGTCTTTTGTTTTTGTATTGTGATACATCATGTGGACATTTTTTCTGTTAGAACTGTAATACCTTCCTTGGAGATCACCTCGGATTTTGAGCCAACTATCCCTTAACAAAATGTACTTCCTATAACAACACAGAGCCACGCTTTCTTAAACGTCTATGCCTCACTTTCCATTTTCATTGAAGTACACTGAACCAATAATCAGACGTTAACGCGAAACGAGGAAAATTTATTGCAGGTCATTTACGATGGCTCCATTTAGAAATCATCCCTCTAAATCGGTTAGGCATTTGCCAGGTGATAGGCCTTAGACTAAGCCTGACTTTCAGTTGATATTCCTCAAAGTATCGTTGATCAGCTAGCATCACCTCAAATGGCGAGATAGTGAGATAATGAACAAACATTATAGAGGTAATCTCTTATTCCTTTTCCATCTAAGGATAGGAAATCAACCCTAAGTGTTATAACCATGGAAACGACTTTATCTAAGTGCTCTATAACTCTCGGATTCAAATTAATACCCCCCAAACATTTCCACGTTTCTGACGGATTTGATGGATTTTAACAGGAACAAAAATAATAAAGGGAAAAGGGATTCAAATTAAGAATGGGAATTGAAAAGGATTAATAAAAGTGAAACAAGGAGAAAGAGAAACACCTAAGAGAAAGAGAAAGAGAGAGAGAGAGAGAGAGAGAGAGAGAGAGAAGGGAAAGATATAGATGGGTGAAACACAAATTTACATAAGTAAGAGAAAGGAAGGAGAATATTACTGCTAATCGGTGATAGAGAAAATGCATATGACACACTTTCGCCCCGGAAATCACACTCGAAAAGCAGCCTTATCAGATGCCGGAGGAAAAAGTGCATCTTACGATGGATGAAGTATAAAACTATCCGCCAGCAATTATAATTTCCTGACCTTTAATTTGAGAATTTGTTTCCAATGATGGTCTTCAAATTGAGGTTTTCTCTTGAGAGACAGAACGAAGCTGTCTGTATGCCAACCAATACTGTCTGAGTGCCTTGCGAGTCAAATGGAAAGTCGGAAGAAACACTGCATGCCCATGGTAGCTGGCCCACGCTCTTTGGACAAGGGTTGACAGGGGGGCATAGCGTACCCCTGCTCCTCAAAGGAAGAGTCACCAAGATATATAGAGATGGAGAGGTGAGAGAAAGAAAGCCAGAATGCAGAGAGTGTGCCTAAATTAGAAGCATGGTTATAACGAGCCTGTTCTTAAAACATAATCGTTCTTGATTCCCATCTGACCATGAACAACGCACCTCACCCCTTGACAGCAGACTTCATCTCAGCCTGACCTTGGCGGAGTGCTCTATATTCGAGTGATTCAAATAATGACGAGTGTTCCAATTCTGACGACATTTCCATATGCGCCTTAATTCATTGCCAATTTGAAGAAGAGCAACCTTGGTTGATGGAGATTATTTGGAAGTATTTCCAAGCTTAGATTGATATGGCAGACAAACATAGACACGGAAATAACGGACGCTGAACATGCTGAAAGTTGGAAGAAGGGTTGCACTGGGTTCGAGGAGGAAATGTGTTCTACAGTTCGAGGGATGGAGGTCCGTTTTGCTTCTCACAAAAGTACTGAATAAAAGGACATAGGGAAACATTTCCGTCTAATTGTTCGCTTTGTCCTAGATCATGAACTGTACAAAGCATTTCGTCCATTTTGAAAGTGGCAATCCATTTTCATGTTCGATTAATGGTAATTCGCTTTAATAACAATTTTCATTTCCTGTTGTTCAACACTAAATAAGAGGTGATACACGAATACGGAGAGAGAGAAAAGGAGAGGGGAGGGGTGGAGAGTTGGGGGAAAGTTTTGGGTACAAAGGATAACTTTGGAAAGTCAAGTTTTTCAGATTAGCAGGGAAGGTCGTTGATAAAGATACATGGCTAAGCCCCTCTGGACGTTTCTCAAAGGAAGTCGGCTCCATGCATCGTACCACAATCGATATTTATCCATGGTCTACAACATGTGACCTAAAAGCCTAGCTAGAAAATCTTCTACAATCTTGATTCTTTTGGGTTCCCAAATGAACGAGCAATTTGGAAAGCCATCTTCCTTTGAAATCACAGGAGATTATCACTTTTCTTCCTTCGCTTCATCTGACCAAAATACTTAAATAATTTTACTTTAGCGCGTGTGCGAAACACAGCAAACAAATTCCCCGTAGAATTTCAAACTTTTCCGGGAAGATGGGGAAAGGGGGGGGGGGGGTGTATAATTTTTTTTGTGGAGTGGATAACTAAGAAATAGAACACCGCATCTATGCCAAGAAAACATGTAGAGCGCCAGTGACATTTGTATGCAGTGGGACATCTATCAGAAATTTTGTTAGAGTATGCATTCGCGCCAGTCGGACGCCATGCCCAATTGTCTATTACACATGAAAACAAAATGTACGCTATGTCCAATCTTGCTTATAAATGGTAAAGGGGTTTGTATGTTATATAAGTATATAAGCGCAATTTGGGATATCATGAAAATTGAAATCCAAGCAATTCCAGACTAATACCTCGCCCTGCACAGTGAAATAACCAGCTGTCTTGAAGCAACAGTCATGACTTGTGTATGCTTTGGACGTAGTGAATACATGTAACAGGACCGTGTTTTTATTCTATAACGATAGAATAGATCATACAAACATATTTGTATCCGTGTTTCTTAAATAGTCCGTGGTAGGAAATACTGTTAATTTAATTTCAAGATGAATTATTAATATTGGTTCAAGATTTTGAATCATACTACTGTTGGACATTATACGCTTAAAAACGAAGCGCCAGACAAATATACAGGTCTGCAAATGTACATTATCTCTAATGTTCGGAATATTGAACATTTTCTCTCATTGTTATTTTGCCCCTTTCATGGATTATTATGACCCTAATATCCCCATCGAAGACATTTTCTCAATTCCGACTCATCAGTGAGTCGGCTTCTCTTGTCATCTTTGGTATTGCCTCGCGACCAATTTCCGAACTACCTGTTGCCTCGGGATTAGTATGGCATTCACTGGCCACCATGTTGCTGCACACGCATAGGCAGGGCGATAATTGAGGGTGCGCGAGTTTAATAGTCATCCAGTCACACCGATGGGACGAATCCGGACCGACAACAGACAAAGTAAACGATCACATAACCCTTGAATGGCCAAGACTCGGTCGCTTTGGAGTAGTTGTGGAGTCGGTTTGGGATGTGACTGGGGTATGAAGACGCCTCCAAAACCGACTATTTCGGACAAGGGTCGATAACTCGATATATCTCTGATTAAAAATTATTGTTCTGTTCACATGGTTCCTTTCCATCCCTACAATGATTGGATACGTTTTTCATGAAATAATAAAACCTTAAAAGTATATTTCATCGAACATTAAACATATCCTAGAAAACTATCAACAATTTCCTTTACTTACCATGTAAAAAGCCGCAGTTCTTGACGAAACAAATGCGATAAGTCCTCTCGAAAATGTAAAACGAGCCAAAGATGTTTCTGCAAGAAAGAAAATGAAGTATATAGCGATTATTATTATGCGTCCTAATTTTGTGCTCGTTTTATCCTAATTTCAAAGGGTTTTATCAAGCCGCCAAATTTAACCGTATAATAACGAATTATTAGCCGACTTTCCGGTCTGGATGCCAAAATCCATCAGAATACCCATTAAAAGATGTAGGTTGAAAACAAAGGCTTGAAAAGCATATTAACGTGTATTATATACTCTCCAAATGCATAAGTTGTCGCACGTATCAGCTTAAAAAATATAATTGTAATCTTCTTCGAGGTTGGATTCAGCCAAAGCCTAGAGTAAAGGAGTTAAAATGGCTTACAGGTGATCCGCATGTCTCACTTACACTCCATTATAAAGGATCTCGTTTCTTACAATATATTACCCATTAACACGCAATTATTAAAACTTTTTAGACTTGATGGATGTTCAGATCCTGTTCACACCGAACAAAAGCTGTGACAAACTTTAGATATGAATTAAGGTATCTGGAAACTTTTTGATCGACGTTTGGAGTGGTGGTGCTGCAATATAACTTTATTCTTATCTTAAACTATACAGCAAATTGGCACCCTGTAATATGACAAACACGGGCCATCAAAATATGTAACTCGACCACAAAGTTCACGAAAGTCAGTAAATTTGAGTACACCCTGTATCACATTCTGAATACCGTTGCACCCCAGCTTTGCTGCGGTGTCGTCGAAGCGCAAGCAACAGGGAAAAAAAAGTGCAAACTGTCTCGTCATACAAACTGAGATAACAAACGCTGTCTGAAATCGGAGATGGCAGAGACAAGATAAAAAGAATTCGATTAAATTTCTGCGTCAAAAATAGGTCAGCTGGTTACATTGAACTACATTTTCCTACCGATGTGTTTTTTTTCTGGGCTTTTGGCAAGAACGTGAGAGGCATGTTTTCTCCGACGATCGGCCGTGTTCCGATATTCTTTCGCTGCTTCCTGTATAGCTATGCGCTCAAATACAAGCAGAGACGGAACTCGCGTTAAAGATAGAGCGAAGACATAGTGAAGTTATGTGAAGGTGTTCGATTACCTCAGGGCTTCGTTGGCTACGATTCAGGCTTAAAATAGAAAAGGGGATAGGATATATATAGGCCCTACGAAAGGTCAAAGATAAGGTCGAGTACTGGTAACGAAAATATATTTTGAAAGAGACTACAACTAGTTCTGAATGGATGATTACATGAAGTAAAAAAACACACATAAGTTTTCAAGTAATCAAAATTATTCCAACCAGATAAAGTCTTCTGGAAATCACAATGAAAATCTCAGAAAGAGTTATGGGTATATGGGACTACAGAAACAGGTGGTATCAATATTTGGTATAAAGTTGTAAACGGCTTCCATACACATTGGAAACAAAAATCAACATATTAAGAACAATGTTTTTCAATGACCAATGATTCTATGTTTTTCAACATGGATAAGAAAAAAAAAATTATAAATAGCACTTATTTTGTTTCGCTATTCCTGAAAACTTGACCTCTTTAAATGCATCACCAAAAACGCGAACAAATTGCGGCCCTATGACGTTTTGTCTCTCTTCAAGCAGACGGAATCATGAAAACAAAAATTATCTCCCCTCATCGGAAGCAATTTTAAGGCAATCAAAGATATTGAAAGATTGATTACATGCGCCAAATGAAAAAAAATCTGGATTATTTCTTTTCTTCCCGGTGCTGTTTAATTCATCACACGTGGAATTGTCATCGAAATATTGAAAGAGACAGGTCAAAACCAATTTCACAATTCTGGAAATGGCATTGAACGTACAGAAGGTATTCAGGACATTTACATTAACATAATTGGCATAAAGATCAGAACTGTCTACTCGTACAAACATGTTATTAATGACATTCGTAGATATGCGATGTCGTTTAATTCACGAAAATAGTTCGTTCACAGTATATTCACTGAAATCTCTTTTACATTTTCGGAGCGTTTAAAATGTATTCCGTAGACATGACGATTTGAAAGAATGTATAGGCATGGTACAGAAAGAGAAAACTTATATTTGACTTCGAGTGAGATAAGAACATTATAATTACTTGTTATCATAATTTCAGATCTAAGGTAGATTACGATTTTTCATTCGAGAGAGAGAGAGAGAGAGTGAGGGAGAGATACAGGTTGGCTGAGCACAACTTAAAGATAAATCCAACCTTGATAGCAAAATACTCTAGAGGAAAACAGAAAAATCAAAGAAGTACAATGGTGAAAGTGCGAATGAAATCGGACAAAAAATGAGAAAGTTACGACTTTTTGAAAGTTGTAATCACTATAGGCTCTTCAAACTGGCTGAATGTAGTATTGGGCGGACAACTTCCTCTTTTGTTCTAACACACAAACTATCTAAAATTCCAATTTTTCAAAAGGTCACGAGTCAGGTGCTGGGTCTATTATCTTTATAGAACCTGTGATAATATAATATCCATAATACATTTTGAGTAGTGCCCCTTTCTTGTTTTTTGTGTTTATATGTAAAAGACAAAAGTCGAAGAAGACTAAAAACCAATCATTTTACTGCTCTATAGCTTCGCAGTTGCTCTCTTAAAATAACCTCGCGAAAACATTAATTGTTGAACCGCAGTCAAGACCAATCGATAAAGAAATAACGCTATTCCATTTGTTCCCATCGGTCATTGGCTTTGACCCCTTTTCATTATTGAAGGCAGTCTGCGTGCAAGTCCAAAGGGGACAGATATATGCACCCATTTCTTGTGGACATAGTCACTCATTTTAACGGAGTGGCTGTAACTACGTTTATCCATTTTATTTTTTTAATCAAGTTAATGGTACATTTGAAACTTAAGGGAAATAATTTCATTAGACATACCATGTATATTGCATCATTATAACAGTAGTAGAATGATAACAAAAAGCCATTGCGCACAAAACTTAGAGAGTGACTTAATAAAATGTATTATATTATTGAATGTTGTATTGTATATCTGATTTCCTGTCATAATTACTGTTCTGTTGGAAATGAAAAATAAAACTGAAACTGAAACTGAAACTGAAATTGAATACAATTAAAAGAGAGAGGGAGAGAATTAAAAGAAAGAGAGGGAGAGGGAGAGAGAGAGAGAGAGAGAGAGAGGGGGGGGGGACAATATATACACGTAAAGAGGAAATGACAAGACGAGGAAGAAGGGTGAAGAGAGAGATTAATGCGAGTTGGAAAGGGAAAGATGGGGGGGGGGGGGGGGGGGGGGGCGTGGTTACAAGGTCATGGACATAATGGAGAAAAGAAGAATTCGGTGGGTTGACAATAATTTCTTAAACAGGACAAAGACGTTTTGATACAAAGATTACGACTTGGAGAAAAGTTTCCTGTCAACATTTCATTTCAATCAAATCCAACGTGGCAATCTGGCGAGAAACAATATCTATATTGAATCTGAGGAAAAATTTGGCGCCGCGTCGTATCAAGTACGTCATTTTTAATTGTGAAATGGTACCCTTGACATGAAGAAAGATAGATAGAGAGATAGATATATAGATAGATAGAGAGAGAGAGAGAGAGAGAGAGAGAGAGAGAGAGAGAGAGAGAGAGAGAGAGAGAGAGAAACATAGGGAGAGAGAGAGAGAGAGAAAGAGACATAGGGAGACATATAGAGTAGGGGAGAGAGAAAAAAAAGAGAGAGAGAGAGAGAGAGAAAGAGACATAGGGAGACATATAGAGTAGGGGAGAGAGAAAAGAAAAGAGGCAGAGAGAGAGAAAGAAAGATAGAGGGGAGGGATGGGGAAGGAGGGAGGAAGAAAGGACCTGTAGGCATAGCTAAGAGCCGAGAGGTGAATAACCGACCGTCATTGAAAACGATAGGGTGGGACTGTTGTTTGCAAAGTTTTGCTACACAAGATAAAGCAAGGGGGATTGACCGCACACCAACAAGTGACGTGCTCGATGGATGTGATGGGAAAGAAATCGACGACGATGATGACAGCGATCATGACTTGTGTGACGAGGGGTGAATAACCACGCCGGTGACGAGGGATGCGGTTGGAAGAGACAATACGAGCTGAGGATCTTATTGCCTAGGTACCAGAGGCTGTCTGAAGATGGGCTTACTAACGTCTTCTCATTTGCATTCATTATCTTCTTGCCTTTGTCTTGTCTGTCTTGGGTGTCTGTGTCAGTATGCCTGTTTGTCTGCCTGGCTGTCTGTCCGCTTGTATTTTTTTCTGCACCTCTCCATGTTTGTCATTTATTTCTGTGCGACTGCCTCCCTTCTGCTCTCCCCCTCCCCCTCTCCCCCTCTCCCTCTCTCTCTCTCTCTCTCTCTCTCTCTCTCTGTGTCTCTCACACAAAAAGACACACTCACTATCTAACACTCTCTTTCTCTTCCACCCTCCTTTTCCCTCTGTATTTCCCTCACTCTCTCTATTCTTTTACTCTCTCTTTTTCACATTCGCACGCGCGCGCACACACACCCTCTGAAATAACACATACCCTTCTTTTTGTTTTAAAGTTTACCTCGTTTTCGTTTGTCATTGAATATGAAAATAGCACACAAACTTTCTTCAAAGCAATATACCATGTTGTTGTGGAAGCAGAGGGAAAACAAAACAATCGCAAGAGTTTTGTTTTTACGAAGAGCTTAAATATTGAATAACAAACACACTTAACAAAATGCATACATCAATATAAGTAGTGGGAGGCTACCTATATACATGACCATGACGACATATCATTTACACTAAAAGAGATATCCAAACGAGTTTTTATTTGAGACTCTAGGCACAGCTAGATAACAAAAACATTCGAGATGATCGGAAAATGTTATCATGAGATCCAAGTTCCAATATCCACCAGCAAAATAGAAACCTGGACAGTTTGTTTTCCGCCTAACTGCCACAAAAGCCCGATATTAAATGGCAATATTTTCGTCCCATGAGGCGAGAGAGAGTTTTGTGAGATAAAAACAACAGTCGATTCATGGAAGCCCGAAAAAACGTTTTCAT